AATCGAAATCGCTTACGAAGAACAACGATTACGATTAAGGCCTAAAATTGACAAGTTGATTGAAGAAAGAATTGTAACTTCACGTTCTGAACTTTCAGACCAACATCAAGACCATGATGCGATACTGGAAGAAATCAACAAAACACTGAAATCATTGGTTCCTTCTATACATTCACAACGGCATTGGGAGATCGCAGCACGTAATTATACCAAATTTTTGAAACTGCGTACTAACCTTTTTAACATAATAGGATATTCCGAAAATGAAACATACGGCCCTCGCATACGTCCTAATTTTATTGCTGAATCACGTCGATTTCGGGTTCGAATAAGAAAAATACAATCGTAAAACCGAATGCTGATGATCGCAAAATATAAGCGGAGAATGGATGCTAAGTGAAGAAATGAAAAGGTTTGGTGAAATTGCACATGCAAAAAGAATAGATTTGACTAAAGCGAAACTAATCAAAGAAACATTATTGGCATTTGGCAACCAATCCCAATAATACGTGAAGAAGCAGATCATCAACAAGCTGAAAGTTTATTAACGAAATCGGAGATTTTATCCATTATCAATTCTTTAACCCTTTTATTATGCGATTCACAACAATTACGTTTTCGAGGCTTATCGAGTAAATCCCGCAACGACTTTGTGAATATTCTTCAAGACATTAGAATCTGAAAATAGTATTGCGATTAATAATATAGAAAATTTATGATATTTTGTATCCAATGATTAAAGCGACACGTGATTTTCAGATTTATTCCATGGTGTTCTGTAACATAAACTTAGAACTTTCCAGAATTTTTTTATTGACATAAAAATGCGACCAAATTTGGTAGAATCCCTAAGCGCTTAGATGAAACAGTAGAAAGGTCAAATCGTCAGACATCACTAATGGAATTTATTAACCAATAAAATTAGACATGCTATCGCTATACCTCAGTTGTATCCCCCAAAAATCCTGGGTCCCAAAGTGAGGATATAAACGAGGTATGACTGTATACGTAGAAAATTCTGGGGTAATTCTATAAATAGTTGCGATCGCCAATTGATATCGTTTCCTAGTTCTTTTTTTGTTTTTACTACACGTATGTGCGAACGCGGTTTGTCATTGTTTTCTGTAAACAATTTTTAAGGCGCGAGATTCACGACAACAAGCAGTGTGATGTGTTATTGGTCAATAACGTATGCGCACGTGTTGACGTCAATGATATAAAAGTAATAGCTCTTGGGACGGTTCATCTACGATAAATTCGTTCTTCAACAATGCATAAACACAACAAGAGTCCTGCGCTGTTAGTAAAAAAGTTGAGCGAGAAGGCAAGATTGCCAAAACGTGGATCGTCTCAAGCTGCTGGATATGATTTGTATAGGTAAATTGTTATTTTACCAGCAGACACTGATCGATCGAAACTTTTACATACTGGACATAGTCGAAGTTGACAAGATAATGGGTCTCTTTTATAGTTCTACGAATACGATTATTCCCGCTCATGGTAAAGCTGTAGTTCCGACTGATCTGTCTATTTGCGTACCAGAGGGCACATATGGGCGAGTTGCACCAAGGAGCGGATTGGGTATGCAAGCACGATGATTGTGTCAGTTAAATTAGTTAATAATACTACTACTGCTAACACAAAATGGTTTCTTTTAGCGTTAAGGCATTTCTTGGATTGCGGAGCTGGCGTAATAGATGCAGATTATCGTGGACCTGTTGGCATTCTCATGTTTAATTTTAGCGAACACGAATATCAGGGTAATGTATTTTTGCGGTTTATAAAGTTGATGACGTCCCAGTGCTGATAATTCTAATCAATCTACAGTCTGCGAAGGAGAACGCATAGCTCAGTTAATTCTCGAAAGAATATGTACTCCTGATGTTATCGAAGTAGGAGTAAGTGTTGATTTGATAGCTCATATCTTAAACCTTTCGATTTCAATTCTAACCTGTTACATCCCACAGGAGCTTAGTGAAACTGCACGCGGAAATGGTGGATTCGGTTCAACCGGAATCCGATAATCTGCTAAAGTGGTCATCGTTCAAAGAAGAGAAAAAAAAACTATACCTTTAATTATTAATAATATCTATCCTATGTAATAATTCTGTTGTAATAATAAAGCAATATATCATATGATACTTCTTGTCAAACCGATTGATGAAATGATGATCGCAACAGTGCCGATAATTGATCCGTATTTCTATGCAACAAGATACATTCTCTCATGACGACTATGGAGCGTATACCTATCATAATAGATACTGACCCTGGTACTGTCGGAATAAATCGAACAAGTTTTCATTCAAGTGTTTTCTTGCCGAGTCGGAATTTCAAACATCATAAATAATATAGGGATAGACGATGCGCTTGCACTTCTTTTGGCTCTGTCGTCGCCTGTTTTAGAAGTCAAGGCAATAACAACAGTCTTTGGTTAGCATATACGCGATTACCAATGTCTTCATCTGCAAAACATGACTTTTATTAATTGCGATTCGTTCTTGTCGACAGGAAACACTGGAGTAGACTTGACTTCACGAAACACGCTGACAGTACTTCACATTCTCGAAACTGAGGTTAACCATATTAAGAATGCCAAACCACCGGAAGGAGATGATAAGAAATGGGAGAAAGAAATGGATACAATGACTACTGTCATTGCTAAAGCCAAACCGATAATCGCAATTGGTATGCAAAAACAATAGCGTCATTGACGGATGAATAACGGCCTAATCAACGCATTCTGTATTGTTGAAATTAAAAGGAGCCGATAAACCTTTGGAAGCGAGGAGTTCTCATGGTACTTATTATCACGGACAAGACGGCCTGGGGGAGATTCATACTACGGTAACATTAAACGGCTTCGATTTCGTAATATGCGTACACGCTATTGTCGCTCTACATTAATAGACCGCCCTTCTTTTCAGCACCCTTTCTACACTCCACCGAACTGGGAATCTATACTCAAGGGCGAAACAACTTCTCATCTGTATACCATTTCTTCTCGATCATCTGCAGATGAAATCCTATACCAACTACAGACTGCTCCTCCACTTACTGTCACTATCATAGCGCTTGGGCCTCTGACTAACTTGGCCTTGGCATATAAGAAAGATCCAGAAACATTTTCAAGAGCTGATAGAATAATATTACTAGGAGGAGCAGTCTATGGGCAAGGGAATACTACCCCTGTGGCAGAGTTCAACTTTTTTGCTGATCCGCACGCAGCAAATGTGATTATAGGAGCCACGAAGGGCTATGATCCAAATGAAAGTATGGATCATAGGAGAAAGGAACTTGAAGATGGAAACGCTATACCATTGCACGTTATCATGATCCCCATAGAGGGTAATTATTTTATTATATACTCGCTGGAAAGAATAGTAGACATCTCCATATGTCCATATCTGATTAACTTTCTGTTCTAGTATCATCAAAGATCCTTCTGCCCAAATCGTACGTAACCGACTATGTGAAACGGAGGCAGTCACCTTTATCTCTGTTTGTGTCAACTTTTCTCGAACATGCCTACACCAGTACATCTTCGAGGGTTATCCAGCTTCATGATCCGGCTGTCGTCGCGATGTTGATTGACATCATAATGGGACGATCACATTGGAAGACAGAATTTACAGACGTAAGAGTAGAATCGGAGGGCTATTATACGAGAGGCATGTGCGTTGTAGACAGAAGACCAGAGCCAATTTTTGCTGATGTGGAAACCTTTCGCCAGGCATCGTTTGGAATATGGACTAAACAGTTTGCAAATAATGTGGAACTGTGTGTTGGATGTGAGCCAGGGAAAGTGTTAAAGGATTTTTTCAAGGGCGTGTTTAACGTCGATATCGAAGACGGGCTCGAAAAATAGTAATTGTACATTATGCAAGTAGGCGTGTATTCATTTATCGCCTATCTTGTATAATTGACTGAATTGTGTAGCATGATAACTATTAGTGTATGGTTATCTTATACACGTTTAACCTACAATTTCAATAAATTATTGTCATCCCAATTTTTGACACTGACAAATAATGAGAAGCTATTTATTAATATGCTTTCTTATGACAAGGTCGCTGCTACGACAAATTCATATCACAATCACGCATCCTGAACATCATAACGACATTCTTTTATTATTGGTCTATAGTTCATCAAGTATTCCAGTTAGATGCAAGTGTTCCTGGCCTAATCCCAAAAATGCTATAAGAATAGTAAGGATTCGTATTACAGTGGACAGAAGACTCGCTTCGTTTGGTATGTAAAGTCAACATTCGCTTCCCCAGTAGTTCTTAAAATAAACTGTTGATTGAAATGATCAAGTGAATATATCTATACAACGTATTTTTCCCCATTCCAGTCAAGTAGTTGGAAATTGCATCTGAATTATTGATGAAAAGTCCTGTTGCAAACGTTTCTATGGCGCAATAGAACAAAATAAATGTATTTTATCGAGAAGGGTCTTTGAAACTCAACTTGAAAGTTTCGTCAGCACCTAAAATGCCGAATACCAGCATAAATATACTAACGGACAATTTTGTGGGCGTTCAGTGTTCAATGTAACTTTTCGACTTAAACCAGTTCAACAAAAAGGAAAGTACTGACCAGTAAAATAACGATAAGCAAAAACTGATAGTCCACGTTAACTGCGGTCAAAGATTCATTCTCTGCATGTCATTGTCTTCTAATATCAGTCGGCTTCCGTCTACGGAAGTTTATAATAAAGTCAAGGGACTTGTTTTTGGTAATTGAGTTCGTTGATGTAAATTCTCTCGTTTCCTTAATATTAATACATCCAGACGACCAAAATTTATTGTAGGTGCTGCACTCGGTGATGCAATTGGCCTTTCCACAGAGTTCTTTAGTAAGAGTCAAGCCAGAGAACTGTATGGCCTTGGCCCAATAAAGTTTGGTGCAGAAGATGGATATCCTTTCTATCTAGACAACCACAGAGCCAGATGGAAAAGCGGCGATTGGACCGATGACACTGGTAAACATGCAGTGAGGGCTACTCATTCTAAAAAATACTAGTCTCAACACCCTATTTCATTTTTTAAACAGATCAGCAAATCCTTCTCGTTCAATCACTTCTTTCACAAAAAGGCCACTTGATTAGCAAAGACTTTGCCAACAGATTAAAAGTTTGGGCAAAAGATGGCTTTCCAGAACTCGACGACAAACCACCATTTGGCATCGGTTTGACTGTCGGTTCGGTACTCTCGCACCCTAATTTCCTCTCCACTCCTCATCAAGCGGCATGGGAAGTATGGAATCAGTTTGACAAAAACATGGCTGCGAATGGAGCGTTAATGCGAACAGCTATACTAGGCGTACCTTATTTTTGGGATGAGAAACAGGTGGTTAAACAGACTTTACAAGCAACCAAAGTTACTCATGCTGATCCAAGGTGTTGTGTCGCAAGCGTTATATGTACTGCCCTCGTTTCGAGGATATTGAGAGGAGAAACGCAAGGCACTGGTGAGGAAATAAAAGACGAAGATGTGATAAACTGGATGCAGTCAGGAAAGCCAGGAAATAGTCCCGAAGAAAACATAGATGACGCGGAACTTATGAGCCAAGTGCCGACGACAGAGCAAATTGAAGAAGCACCAAGGGGTGGTAGGCGCTCGGTTGTGAGGAGACTCTCGGATTTTGGTAGTTCACTATTTGGCCGACCTTCAAATGAAAAAACACCTAGATGGGTAGCAAGACTATCTACGAGGCCACAATTCACTCCCCGAGAGAAACCGACAATACCGGATAATCCTCCTCCTGGGATGGATACTTTTGGCGCGGATGATGAGATGTTGGCGTTGACCCAAAACATAGTCAATAAGTATAAATTTATGGTCGTCGCACCAATGGATGGTGAGAACGAAGAGTCAGATTCAAGACGTATTAGACCGAATTTAAAGACTAATTCTGGTGAAGGAGAATTGTTAAAGCATTGCTTTCCTCCAAATATTGCCGCGCTCGATCTGGACGAAGGCGGTGCTATTGGATACGTGTATAAATGTCTTGGATCTGCGCTTTATTGCTTCACGCGTGACCTGTCCAAATGCGACAACGAAGGCGAGGCATTTAAGAGAATTATTACTGAACTCGTATTAGAGGCTGGAGATTCTGATACAAATGGTGAGCGAACTCTATTATTTAGACGGATGATTGATATGCAAATTACACATACAAATATACTGATGCACTTCTACAACATTTGGTACGTATACAAACGTTCGTCTACATTTAGCTGCTGTCGCAGGCGCTCTGTTAGGCTCGAGAATAGGATATAACAAACTGCCTAAAGAATGGTTGACAGGATTAAGGTTTACAGACTGGTTAAGCGACTTGATCGACAAACTATGGGCACAAGTTCTTGCGAATGTTAATAGTAACGGTCAGGAGACTACTTCTGAGGTGTGATAAACTAAATACACCACTGTAATTATTATTGTTGTCATTAGTATTTATAGAAAATATATTTTATTTTAATACAAATTGATTGCTTTACAATATTATTATTCATTATTATATGTAATTATCATTAAGAAGTTGCATGCAAATCTTGTGCCTGTACCATTTCAGCATATAAACCTTTCTTCGCTATTAACTCCTTATGAGTTCCTTGTTCATGTACTACACCCTCCTTGATAACGTATATAATATCTGCATGCTGTATACTAGATAGTCTATGAGCAATAGCAATGGTTGTCCTTCCTTTAGCGGCGACATCAAGAGCCTTCTGTACTACTTGTTCAGACTTTGAATCGAGTGCCGATGTTGCTTCATCAAGTAGTAGTATTTTTGGATTTCTTATTAACGCACGGGCGATAGCAATACGCTGCTTTTGCCCGCCTGAAAGCTGTGTACCTTTGCTTCCCACTCGAGTATTGTAGCCATCAGGGAGGCCGGTGATAAAGTCATGAATATTGGCTTGACGACATGCTCTTTCAATATCTTCATGAGTTGGTGATTGCCCTGGTTTCGCTCCAAATAATATGTTCTCCTTTATCGTCATGTCATATAGTGAAGGCTCTTGACTTACTAATGCGATATGTTCACGCAAATCATTTACATTAACCGTCGTAATATCAACGCCATCTATTTCAATCTTCCCACTAGTAATGTTATAGTATCTTTCGGTCAGGCCAACGGTCGTACTCTTTCCACAACCAGAGGCACCAACTAAAGCAGCAAATTGACCCGGTTTCACTTTAATGTTCAATCCTCTTAATACGGGGACATGGGGTCTCGTTGGATATCGGAAATGTACATTAGTAAATTCAACTTGTCCTTCAATTTTCTCCAACTTCCTTCCTTCCTTTGACCAAATATCGATTTTTGGAACACGCTCAAGCAGAGCAATGATCGAGGCAGCCGAGGACTTGGCCTTGGCTATATCGGGTGCAAACGCAAATGCACGCCCAGCAGACATGGACCCAAAGATAATTGCTATGAATACAGTAAACATTTTCTTCAAGTCGTATTCTCCCGTCTTAAACAAGTGACTACCATACCAGAATGCTAAAGCATTGGTCATAAAAGTGACACAATGAGCAAAAGCAAATACACTCGACGCGATGAATGCGTTTTTGACACCTTGACGCATTGGTTCATCCAGATGACTACAATATAACTTTGCGAGATCCTCCTCACGGGTGAGTGAGGCAACAGTACGTATATTAGCAGCTCCTTCGCATGCAACCTGCGCAGAATCTTCGTAAGCCTGTTTAGTCTTTGCTTGGAAACCGTTAAGCATTTTCATCCTCAAAGCACCGGATCCAATAAGAAGAGGAATGCAGCACAAGCACACAAGAGTCAATTTCCAACCAACCACAAACCCAACGATTAATCCACCAAGAATGGTAGTTAATACTTGGAGTAAGGTACCCATTGTCACTCCAGCCAATCCGTTCACTTGAGTAGCGTCCAGAGATAGAGCACTTGTTAAAGCACCAACGTTGTTCTTCTCGTCGTCGAAGAATTCAATGTCTTGTCGTAATATTGCCGCAAATGACATGGATCTTGTTCTCACTATAAGTCGTTCTCCCGAAAAGCCGAACGCAGCGTTCTGGGTGAAATAAGACAAAAGGATGGCGAACGCAATGATAAGAAACATCAGGGCCCAAAAGTTGGCGCCTGAGCGAAGATCGTCGCCAGTCTTGGAAAACGTGGCAAGTATATTAGCGAATATTATGGCAAATATCGGATGTACGATACCAGATACCATTGATGAGAATAGACCTAAAAGGATGAGTGGAAGCTCTGAGCGATTCATGCGTCCGACTTTGACGAGCAATTCCCATGTCGAGTATTGATCGACCTTTTTGGTGTTTGCTTCAATGTCTTCTTTTTGTTTCTTGAGTACTTCCGATGATACTGATGTTGCTCTATTTGGTACTATTCGACCTATATTTACATCCTCTTCGGGGACAATGTCTATCTGTTTGTCCATGTCCTCCAAAGAAGTTGGTTCGGTTCTATCATTTTCTACTTTTTGTGCTTCCACTAGTCGAGCATATGCCGCATTCTTGGCCATCAGCTCGTCATGTGAGCCCACTTCTACTACGCCACCTTCGCTCATAACTACAATTTTGGTGGCGTTTCTGATTGTTGATAATCGATGGGCTATTACTATTGTTGTACGATCCTTGGACGCTTTATCGATAGCATCCTGTACGATGGCCTCGCTGTGTGTATCCAATGCACTGGTAGCTTCATCCAATAATAATATTTGGGGATTCTTTACGATGGCACGGGCAATGGCTATACGCTGCTTCTGTCCTCCAGACAACAAAAAACCTCGTTCGCCAACTATTGTTTCGTATTGATTTGGCAATTTCATGATAAAATCGTGTGCATTCGCTATCTTGCAAGCATTCTCAATTAGTTCATGTTTCTTCTCCTCCGAACTATTTTCAAATTGAGATCCAATCAGACCATGGGATACGTTTCCATAGATTGTGGTATTGAATAAGACAGGTTCTTGGCTTACTAGTGCCATTTGCCTACGAAGCCATTTGAGGTTGAATGATTTTATATCATGACCATCTAATAACACTTGTCCTTTAACAGGATCATAAAATCGAAGTACTAGAGACACAATGGTACTTTTTCCCGAACCCGACGCACCAACCAACGCAACAGTAGTCCCGGGTTCAATGTCGAGTGACACATTATCAAGTACCTGCAAGTTCGGTCTTGCTGGATATATAAAGGATACGTTCTTTACTTGAATTTTGCCATTGATTTTTTCCAGCTTTAGTCCATCCTCGCTCATAGAGTCGATTGGGGGAATGCGATTGATAGTCTCAAATATTTTTGATCCGGCGCCAATAGCAAACGAGAAAGCTTGTAGGTCAGGAGCAATATGTCCTAATGCAAATGATCCAATAATCACAGCAAAGAATACGTTCACGATGGTTCCAGGTGTCAGCTGGCCTTCCAGCAGCAGTCGAGATCCATACCAGAATGCTAACGAATAGGCACAGTATATGAAAAAGAATATTGCACCAAACGCACTCCCCGTAACAAGTGCTTTTTTAATTCCCTGACGCTTTGCGTCTTCAAGATACGAGTCGTATAGTTTGGATACCTTCTTTTGCGAACCAAAGGCTACGACAGTGCGAATGGTTGATATCGCCTCCTCTGCTATGTTTCCGGCTCGCGAGTAGAAGCCTAGACTTTTCCTCACAAATAGAGCGCTGAACTTGTTCATGGTCGAAGCTGACGTTACTATGAGAGGTATTACACATGCAATTACAAGGGTCAACTTCCAACTTCGTGTAAATGCAATTATAAAGCCCGATATAAATTGTGACGCATAAGATGTCGACGACGGTACTTTCTCGCTAATGCCATCTTGTATCAAATGTGTATCGGAAGTAATACGCGTAGTTACTTCTCCTGCCCCAAGTTTGTCAAAGTAAGCGATATTTTGTCGCAATATAGCCTGTAAGTAATGCTCACGTATTTCACGTGTGATTCTGTTGAAAAGACCTTACTTTAATTAGTAAGTCGAAATATGGGGCCGTAAATCACGGGACAATAATGATCAATTTTACCTTTCTCCGGTATAAGTCCATGTTGACATAAACAAATATGTTGTAGCGAAAGACAAAAGTCCCAGACATAAAAAGAGGAGAGCATACAGGTTTATTTTGGTTTGGAAAGCGTGCTCGGTGGTAATTCCTTCTTGATAATAGGTGAAAACGTCTACCATTTTACCGAATAATATTGTGCTAAGAGGCTATCAATGCTTCGTTATTTAGTATATATTCATTCATTATGAACTTGTAAATCGCCAGAGATTGCTTTTTTTTCCTACTTACCATAGTTGCTCCGGAAATTACAGCAAATGTTATTCCAACAGACATAAGCAGCCAATCGAAGGGTTTGGCATAAGAATATAGTTGAGCGTACGATATCCTGCCAGACTTGACATATGTTTGTTCTTCTATTGCGCGAATTACATCTGGATCAAGAGCTATTGCAGGCAGATCATCAACATTTACTTCGATATTGCTTGATAGAGAATTTTCCAACTTTTCGGATTTTGAGTCAAGTTGTAATTTTGTTTGCGGCGGTTCGTCTTTCGTCATTATGTTTATTAAAATCGTTGGTTAGTTTTTGGTATTATAAGAGAAGCAAACAACGAAACATTAATCAATTGCAATGTTTGGTTGCACTTGTAGTGTCTTTGGTAAATTTATATAGATTATTTTTTAATTGTCGATCCTAACAAAAGGGGTAATATAATACCTTTGTTACAACAATGCTGTTGTGATAAGATTAAATTGCAATTGAATGTAACATGGACCTGATGGGTAAACGAAGGCCCCAAATGGCATGGGGACCAAACTGTAGGTAACTGCCACACGGCGAATGACACTGGATGATTCACAATCTTGCTGCTCATCGGAAATAAAATTAGGTTAATCAGTTTATCAACCAGTTCGGAATTTAATATATATGTGCGGGCAGCAGCTGCGACATTTACGTCTTTACTTTCTCGGTATTTATACTATTGCCATTGAACCTTACAAAGAACTGTGCATACTTTTGATCGGGAGAAGGAGAGATTGTCAATTGATGTTAGGAATAAATTTGTCCCTGAAAATTTTACTGCGTTTTTTGTGTGCCGGTTAAACCCTTTATCCACGTGACGAACATGAAGGAGAGGACAAAAACTATTTTCCGCCCCTTTCTTTCCATAAACTTAGCCCTACAATCTAATACATTCTTGGTGTGGTATTTGGTTTATTTAATTCGGCAACTGCCAGTGACCCAAGATCCGTTGCTGATGCGGTAATGTTTATGTCTATCTATTCTATATTCGTTTGTTCGGGTAAATCTTACTGCGTCGACTTTATCCAGCCCCCAACATACTGCGCCTTATCTATCCAAGGGACAATTAAAACCTTAGTTGACAATTATATATATCAATTGACGCAAAGATTATTATCACTGTCATATTATTATGATGCATGGGCTTGGCAATAAAGTAGTGCTCAATAAATTGTCAATGTGATAAATATTGCAATAGATATTTTCAAGCCAACGTGGCCTGCATAACAACCTTAATAACTACCATTCTCGACTACATCCGCATATATACGACAAAACAAGCTAGTTCACATTTCCTGTATTGATTATGCAGATCGCTTCCGTAAGAACCAATGAGCTTCAATTTACGGGGAATAACCGACCTGATCTTTGTGCCAATACGGCCGCGAGATCTACAAAAACAATAAGGGAAAAAAAAAGGATTCTGTTCTTTCGACTAATTGAAGAATTTTTCTGTTAATAAGGATGAGCTGCATGTGAAATGAGACCTCATAATTTATAATTACATAATTATCAAATATCCTCATCCTAAGTAAGGATCAAGTCAGCTAATCGGACTTTTTTTATTGTAAACCGATAACCGATAGCAATAGAAATCTCGGATACCAAAAGAGTCTTTCGTTCACTTTCTGCAGTGCTTTAACACGGATATTCGTGCACATGGTACGATCAGCACCCAATATATTGGTGTGTAAACAGTAATTTGAATGTGTAGAAAATGCGTTGTCTAACATGTATACTGCATTACAAATTAATGTCACATGAAATATGATTGGGCGAGTTGACATCAATTTTTACGTAATTAATGTCATAATCCATAATTATCTAACAAATAAAAACTTTTGAATGCTCGAACACATTTATATTCATCAAGCAACTGCAAAATTGGTTTGCCTATGATGCATTCTTTCTGCTGAACACAATGTTCACGGAACGGAACCAAAGACTTGTCAAAATATCTATGCATTCACCACCGTTTTCTGCAATGACGGGAGGTGTTTGATATTCTAATATTAATATCATCAAAACAAGTCGTCTCGGTTTTGCTAATTTTGATCTGACTTGTCATAAATAATATTGTCCTGTTACAATATTAATCTGCGCAATTAAATGTTTAGAAGCCTTTTCTCGGTCTATTGAAGACGGTAGTCTTGTTGTCCACCGAATACATGCAAATACTACACATAGCTCAAGGATCTTTAATGCTGTGAATAAACAAAAGTGGCAACTTCAAAGAATATCACATCTTTAATAGAAGACAAAACTGTAATTTTGCAATTCCAAACAAATCATTTAGCTATATATATTTTCCATTGCACAAGCTAATAGCTTACATAAAGTCTTCTTGAATTGAAAGAGCTTTGGAAAAGCGTCTGATGTCTTCAAATTCGTGTTTGAACTGAGGTATGGTCGGCATAGGCAACAACTCAATTAATGGGAGGATGTAATCAGCTCAACGTGGCGAATATTGTTCATAATGTTTAGAATTGCAATTGACATTCTCTAAGTTAGACGTTTGAAAAAGCTACGTCATCAATTCCGCCCATATAAAACATTATAATCAATAGTAAAGCTATAATTTTTCTGTTTATTCAAATGTGTCCAATGAGATGAATTAAAAATTATGCTCCTCCAATTAGGAAATTATATCGGCTAGCAAAATATCTGAGTAGCATTCGATAATACATTCCCGTGCTGCCGCTGCTAGCGATAAAGCTACTACTAAAAGAGTTTAATTAAAGGAGTAACTAAAAACCAGTACTATATCGATAAGGTGTTCTATGGAGTTGTTGTATGTTCAGTTTGGAATTTGTGTCGATTCTAAATTGACATACTGTATGTCAGTTTGGAGTAATATGCAGATTAGATGAATTATATTTATTAAGCAATGTCAATTATGTATGTATACTAATGTTATTAAAACGGTTGTTAAGAGTTACAGTATAGTGTACTAATTATTATAACAAATATGTAATACAAATAAGATTGTGTTCTTACTAACGAGTTTATTAGCATGTATTGTAAGAGCTTGACTCAAATAATTTAATGAGACTCGAACGCGTTTTTGTAGATCTAATCATACGATTGTTTGCTTGAAATCATTGGATATCGACAGTAATTACAGTTAGATAGCAAATGTAGTCGCTTTTTAGCATTACGGTTAGACCATCAATGTAGCTTAATCGCACGATGAGTAGTAAATCGCAATAGTAGATAAAGAAACATGTACCTAATAATGCAATATTAACATTATTCAATGGTCATTTGTCACGACATAATAAATAAATAATAACATCTGTTGGCCTAGAAAGTCTTTTTTTTTTAAGGAATCTAATAAACTTGTTATAATGTCGTCATCGTGAAATTGATTCTGATGATTATACTCCATATTTTGTCAGAGGGTTTAACTCTCCGATCAGTAAGCAGTATTATTTCCAATATTAAAATAAAATAATAGCGAACGAAAAGTTCGGATTGTAATAAGCTCGGTTCTTTTTGCTGAAACAAATGATTAGCTTTTGATATGTGAAAACTATGAATTGAGTTATTACGGCTAACTATTAAATAATAAAATACGTTGCGCTCATAGATTATCCAGTTCCAATCTGACATACAACAACTAGTCCCATAATAATAACGATAGTATTATGAGCAAAATTACGTGCATAATGGATTAAAGAAACTTGTTTGGCATTTTCTGTCACAACTCTTTAAATTCTATTACAAAGGATCCGGATATATTGTACTTGTACAGCAGAGTGTTTATTTAAAAACCAGAACTTGTCCTCCGAATCGAAGCCTACAGAGATATTAAATTAGCCGAAGAATGAAGTTCCAATATGGCTTGGGTATAAATGAAATGTCGCGGCTGATGCTGAAATCTGGGGAAAAAAAAATGGGGTTAGTATTAGAATCTGATCAACCAATGAAAGATCAGGGTTTCAGCTTCAGCTCTCACAATTAAATAAGACAACAAAGCATAAAAAGCCTTTCCTGTGTAATTATTCTAATATTATGGCTGGCACAAAAAAGACACTATAACGGTTCAAATAGCATGTTATAATTTCCACAGTCGGAAGTATAAATTGCAATAATCCATCACGTGATAGATCGTGAAGAACAATAACGACCATTAGCTAATGTCACAAAATGCAAATATCACCTCCCCTAGTTATTTACCTGCATGAAAGTTGTTTGACTCGATGCTGCGCTATTTTGATATCTCACCAAAAGCCTATTCTTCTGCAATTTCCCCCTCGACTCGCACTTTGTCGGAGGAAATCTGCAGAAGAAACACCTTCCACATACTGTGAGCGTGGCAGCCGTTACACTGTTTGTCACTCTGGCTGACACACACGTGTATAGCCTTCTTCTTTTACAAGTAATCTCATACATAACTTATCCATATTCCGAATATTTGGTCCTGATTGAAAGATGGAATCTACCGCTGGAACTCCGTTGTCCTCTCAAATAGAATCCATCGCAAAGGAGACTGAGACAATTGATGACATAGACGAAGAATTGGAGACACTTTTACGCAGTGCATTTTCTAACTGTCCGCAGTGTAAAGAATTATATAGTGACTACAATTGGTGTCAATCTTGTGAGGTTCAGAAATTTCAAGAGCATTTTGGCAAATGGACTGGCGGGAACGATGCTATTGATAATCTGATAAAGGAGACGCAATTGAATGCTCTTACTTATCGATCTTATCTAGAGTGGATTCCATATTCAGAGTTTAATAATATTGAACTCATTGGCAAGGGAGGGTTCGGGACTGTTTATTCTGCTATTTGGGCAGATGGGCCAAAGTGGAATTTTGACAACACAACTGGGACTTGGGTTAGGTCTGGACAGACACAAGTCGCGTTAAAGTGCCTAGACAATTCGAGGAATATTAATCAAAGCTTCTTGAACGAGGTAAATTTATGTGGATATTTTAATTGTTTGAAGGAAAGGATCTTAATTTGGTCGTACCATTTATTTATAATCTTCATCTGTTATTTAATTCTTTGGTGCGCAGGTAAAGCTACATCAATGTTCATTTGTGAGTGACTTTGTTTTGCGTTGCTATGGAATATCTCAACATCCAGCAACCGGAGACTACATCATGGTGATGGAATATGCTGATAATGGCGACTTGTATCGTTACATGAGAAACCACTTTGACGACATTAGTTGGTATGACAAGTTAGCAATACTCAGAGACATCGCAATGGGCTTAACAGTGATCCATTCTGCAGATTTACTTCATCGAAACCTCCATACGGGTAACATACTTCTCAGCCTGGATTTAATGCAAACCTACTTGACTGACTTGGGTTTGTGTCGCCCATCACACAGGCATGTTGACTATGATGAAGTATACGGTTCCCTTCCTTACGTGGCCCCAGAAGTATTGCAGGGTGAAGAATATAGTAAAGCAGCCGATATATTCAGTTTTGGCATAATTATGTGGGAGATAGCAACTGGCAAAAAAGCATATGGTGATAGAGCGCACGATACACGGCTTGCAGTTGAAATCTGCAGGGGTAAACGACTGGATCCACCAGAAAACGTTCCCGAGTGTTATATAAGATTGATGAACTGGTGTTGGGATGAAGACCAAGACCAGAGGCCTGATGCTGACGTCTTACACGCTGTTATCGGAAGGGATTGGTTGTCTAAGCTCAAGCCTGAAGTAAAACAACCTCCTCCCAGAAGGAAAGTCACGTTTGAGAAAGGTACGAAAGGTCGCGGTGCCACCACCACCACCACCACCACCACTGCACAAAGAAATACGCGAACAAACGTTACTCAAAAGACTACTCCCCGAACGACCACGCAACGAAGAACTAATAGTACTACCACTAATACCGCTACTAAGACATCACCGACGAATGTAACAAGATCATCTTCATCCAAACCTCTAGCGAAACGAAGCAACAGTACGCCAACAAGGACTACTACCCAGAAAAAAGCCGTTGCTCCGCCTGTGCTGTCCGCTGCAGCTCAGGAAGCCAACCAGTTCAAAGCTGCTGAGAAGAAACGGCGTGAGGCATTGGACGCTAAGAAGGCTTCTACGAATGGTCTTCCCGAGAATGTGAAAAAAGATGAGGAACTACATCCTGAGGCAGTATATACGAGCAGGTTGCTTTCGTTTCCTGATCTCGCTACATTAGTGAAACTTGTCAACGAGGAAGAAAAGAGACGGGCAGAGGAGGAAAAGAAACAGGCAGGGGAAGAAAAGAAGCCCGAAGAAGAAAAGAACTAGTAGACTCGGTATTTATAGTGACAGCCTACTGTTTTCGCATTAACTAGTGACAGAAATAATACGAGTAATTGAATTCGATTCGATCCACTTGTGACAAAAAAAATTATTACTATGATGTGAGGCTGATGAATCGCCAAGAATCTGATATAAACGATAATGTAACAACTTCGATGATTGGTATATTCTATTCTATGTCTTTATCATATAATAACAATAATTGATATCAAAATAACATAAAAACCCATATTTTTTAAAGCTATAGTATATACGAAAACATACCAGATATAAATAATAAATTTTACGAATTGATGATCTCAATGTACAGTGAATGCCCGGACTTATACGTGATATTTATCGAAAAACTTGGTAAAATATGTAAGCAATGAGAGAAAAACTATAAAGCGCGCGGTTCATCGTGTAAAAGTATTTCATCCCATACGAACGTTCAACAAGTACAGGTGGAAAAACACAAAGGATCAGTACGCTTTTGTAAACTAATTAAATATATTCGTTTCTTTCATTAATACTAACATAATAGATTACGAGTTGTAGCCTGATTTTTTATTATTAATCGAATTGTTATTTAATCTACAAATTATTTCCATTTCTGTCAACAATTAGCGCGTCAATTGCCTATAAACGCTGACAATATATAAGTAAAGAACATTCAAATAGATAAGAAAATTATTGAGATACGAGCTTTGAATTTTCAACGCATTACTCACTCTCGTTTTGCGTTAATGAAAATAGGAATATCATCGACAACAAAGAAAGAAAGACTACGCAAATTGATAAGAAACTAGATATTAATATGGGCTTTGAAGCTGGAGAATCGGAAAAAAAAGTTGAAGGTGCTCACACTTTTGCAATAACGAAGAAGCTGACGATAGCACTGAAGCTATACGTAAAAAGCATGAACGTGTCAAGGGTGCTGATCAATGTATTAATGTAAAAATACAATTAGAGCGAGACAAACTGTAAGTATAAACTTTTAGAAAATATAGATTACCGCATATAATTAACTACTTTCTAATATTAAATTAACCAAATTCTTTCCCCTCTTTAAATATACACCCTCCATAAAATGCATACTCCATAAATTCACGCGTACATTTATGAAAGTTTACTTAGTATGTTGTGAAGGTATGTTCTGCTCATTTCGAGTTTTTCGACGCTTCTTTTCAACTGGAGCAGAGGTGACAAACGTTTTTAGATTTGGTGATCGATAGTCGAATCCAACACGAACATTATTTAGCCAAGGAGCAGATACGTGTGGTACTTTTTGTTGCACTAATTCATAAAGGTTATCAAACCCTGTCGACTCTCTCTAGATATCGTCAGACAATGCATGAGTATATATTCGAATCAATCGAAGATTGTTAACAACAAAACAAGTATATTGTACCTTGATACCAATGCAGGCCACTCGCTTCACCGAAAGCAATTCACTTAAACGCCTCTCCGCACCAAAAGGCAGCGCAACAAGTAACAAGCTCGGATTTATCGCTGCCATGACAGGCATGTGAGCGTAAAGAATAGGAGGAGAAATGTCGCTCTTACATACAAAAACCATTCGAAGAAGTGAATCCAAATTTTCAGGTTGCAATTCTAAACGCCGAGTGACTGCATTGAGCCCAATAACTATGTCTTTGCTCTTCCTAATGCGCTTCGATTCGCCAAAACTGCTCAAAGTACTAATAAAATGAATAGTGTAAGCACAAATCCCAAAACAACATTCGTCATAAGCTGTGCAGGCTTACTTACCTGCACAAGACTTGTAATATTTCTTCTTGCGTCTCCTTCGAGACATCGGGCCTTGTAAAGCAGAACAGAACACACTGTATTCTTAAATAATATTAATTTACTTCATGGACAACGTTTCACGTAATACCAACCAATTTATGTTAAACGGAGAGTCAAGTACAGCTTTAAATACTGTCTTGCGTTTCTTTTCCTCGACTCGTATGGACGAACCAGTATGGGTTGTGGCTTTTTTATCTTTTACCGTTCTTTCCGATATATTGGAGGCATTAGAAGTTACACTCTTCTTGTCTACCTTGCGATAGGGCGAAGGGGTTTGCTTTGGAATAACGACGCGCTCTCTCGGCATTCTTTTCGTTATCGCAAGATGCACCAGAGACCACAAAAATTGGGTTCGTATCATTTCAACTCACCGACAATTAACTACCGAAAACGGATAACTTCGAAATAATGTTGGTGAATATTTTGCTGGGGTAGTTAATTCCTACCGCATTAATGGTAAATAATGTGACGTCACATTTCAATTGGTTCTTGTTGCACGCCAAGGAATACCGCAAGTTTCTGTATGGAATCCGCTTTATCTTCACAACCATTAAAGAAGTCGTTTAAATCGGCTCTCTGTATAATACCTCCAGATAATTGTTGGCCTCGCATCCAAAACATTCGAGTAGTCCATGACAAACATTACAAAAGATGGATGCCACATATTAATGTTTTATATCCATTCACACATGATCCACTTATTCCCGAGCTGCAGTCCGTACTTAATGATGTCAAACCGTTTAAACTCATATTCAAAAGTTTGGATTATTTTGCACATAGTACAAATAAAGCAACCGTTTGGTTAAATCCAGAAACCAATGGTGCATTGGAAAACTTGGGGGCTGTACTTGTAAATGCTTTCCCAACATTTAATGATCTAGTGCTTCGTGGAGGTGAACTTGGATATGAACCCCACTTGTCTCTCGGTCAGTTTAATGGAGAGGTGAGTATATATATAGCCGTAATGGTAGTAACCGAATTATCAAGAAATTAGGTCGTCGGGTTCTTTCATTTATCGATAATTCTATTAACACAATATTGGATACTTTTTAGAAAAAAGCATTCGAAGCAATCAAGAAATTCACACCATTATTTGCTAATGACCCTATCGAGTTCGAAGTTGATAGACTGTGTTTAATATCCAGAAAAGACTTTCATGATCCATTTGCGGTTGATGCAGAAATTTTATTTGGTAGTGAGGGTGTTGCTAATACCAATGGTTCTGGAACAATTGAGTAGTATACAAGTATACATGTGCTAATGACATAATGTTTGAGATATCCATGATGGCAGGTGAGATGGTATCATTAAAATGTAAACATTTACTTTGTCTCTCTAGTCTTGCTTTAGTTATTTTCCTTTTAACCAATAAGCAGTTTAAGTTGGATAAGTGACCAAGTAAATCTCACTAATAATATGCATGCTTAAATTATGACTTTTTTTAGCTGTTGCCCTCTTCTTTTGTGCAGGAATAATGTGAGGATCCAAATTCTCTTTTCTTCACAGGTAGTTTTTGCTTTCTACCACCAGAACCTTTGGTCATTCGTCTTTTAACAGATTCAACCTGAACACATATCATTGAACCACTTTTAACATGGGCTGTTGGGTCTAAATTATGATTAAGGTCATAGAGATAGGAAGTAAGCCAAGGAATAAAATTTGATTTCACTGAAGGATATATATCTCTCTGCAAACTTGTCTAGCACAGTGCATAATTGAGGACTAGCATTTTGATAGTCTGCTTTCACTTCTTCTAAAAACATAGCAAATGCAGTACAATTGACTTCAGTAATTTCCTTATTAATGCCCCCTAGAAGGATCAATAATTATAACAAATATTTTAGAATTGTTTTTCAAGCAGAATTTATAAATTATTAGAGAATCTTTATACCTCCACTCAATGTTTTTGCCAAGAACATTGTTAGGGGAACCACCCCTCTATAAGCACATGGGGCAGACTGCAACAAAACCAGACAAAGTGAACATTCTTAAATAAGAGGCTGGTGTGGCTGAAAGTTAACTAATTTGACTGATGACGCTTTGAAAAGGTGCTCATTCATAACTTAATTTTAATGTTCCCTTTATCATACCAGAATGTGATAAATATAAACCATAATGTGAGTAATATAGGACTACCTCTATATAAAAATATAAATATGAAACTAATTTACATCAAATCCACCATGGAACCAAAGAATTACAGCACCATTAGAAGTATTTTAAAGAAAGCTCAAGGAGAAAAAATTGCGCCTTATGTTTTTAAAATCAATACTACCCAAACTCTCCAGGAATATCTAGATCAAGAAAAAATTATTTATGAGATTTACCAAGAAGAACGAAAAATAATAAACCATAAACGAACATTAATGCCAACTTATGATAAACCAAGAAAGAAACAAAAGCTGGCAGAATAAACAATCAAATCATTATTAATCATCATCTTCATCTTCATCCAACTCATCTTCTAATTCAGAGGGAGCATTTCATCATTGGAGAAGAGTTTTTCTTTTACCAATAGCTCATCCAATTGCTCCAATTAGTAAAAATAAACCTAATCCACCTAATCAAGCCGCAGGATTATTAGTTCTTCAAAAACCTTCTCCTTTCGAAGAAGAAGGAGTAGTTTTAGTTCCTTGTTTCGCAAAACTATTATTTAGTCCACCTAACTTTTCATAGTAATAAAGAATAATTCCTTTTTCAGTGAATTCAGTTCCATTGCCATATTTATTGAGATCTAAAAATTTGTTTCCTTCTTTAAGTTGCTCCATTTCTTTATGAAGATTTTCTTTAAGAGCATTGTTTTCTTTTATTTCTTGTAAAGCAATCGTGCTAATTAATGTTTCAGGATCCCGAGTTAAGAACCATTCTAATCAATCTTCTTTACCAGCATTGTTTTCAGGAATCTCATAAATATCATCCATTAATTCAGGCTTTTTAGCTAGAGTTTCTTTACAGTATTTAATAAGATTATCTTCATTGATTTTTCTGGTATTGACTTTATCTGCTATTTCTTTAATTTTGTCTGCACTGTTTTTAAATAAGGTTGGATTAAAAACGATTCATCTTTGAACAAGAGAATTGAAAACATTAACTTTTATTCCTAAAGCACTTTTTAAATCCATGACTTCCAGAATCTTTTTGGAAGGATTTGGACCGTTATCAATATAGTTAGTAATTTGATCTAACTCATTTTTTTCCACTGAATCTAGTCCCCGTCCCACTGATTCTAAAGAATCTTTGATTTCACTTAAATAATTTCTTACGACTTCCTCATTAAAGTATTTGCCATCATCTTTTTTTCAGTTCTCTAACCTTTCTGTAAAGTAAGTACCATGCCCTACTCAATGATTATATTTAGCTAGAATACCTTGATTATCAGTTTCAGCGGCATCTAATTTAGCTAATTCAGCAGTGGGATCAAAAGTAGCATCCGTTTTTAAACTTTCTCACTTTTTAATCCACCCTAAAATATTCCTCATAAATAATAGTTCTCGATAAGTTCTTTTGCCTGGTTTATCACGAAAGGTTTTAAATTGAGTGATTAAACCACTTACCCGGAGTTTTTTAGCATCTTCTTTTGCTTTCTCTGCTACTTCTTTTTCATTATTGATTTTGCTTTGTTTAGCGCTAATTTCTCTTAATTCATCAACTTTCTTACCTAACTTAGCACCTTCTCCTTTTAAATTCTCCAATACAGCATCAGCATCTGTTGCTCATTCATTTCATAAATTTATTACCAAATCAGTAACTTTGTTGTTTTTTTTATATTTAGTAGCAAGGATAATTAAACCCTGTTCTTACTGTATGAAAAAATATATGGGCGAATTCCACGGAGAAACAGATTATAGTTGGCTTTTAAGCAGTTTCATTCTATCGCAACTAAACGGGGAGTTAACTAGGCGCCGATCCATACGGGACCGTTTTCACTCTAGTCGTACGACGCGCACGTTATCCCGTACCGTTCCGTACGTACATCATATTATAGTTAGGTTAGAAGATAATAATCCTCGTACTTCTATGCGGAGTAATACATTACGTGATGCTCCGCTAGCCATTTTATCTGATTTGAATTAAAACCAATTGCTCTTTTTTTTAATTCATCAATCTCCATTGCTCTTGCACTATCTCTGAAACTTGCAAGAGATTTCATAGTAGCTAATGCTACTTTGTTGGCAACTCTGTCCAACTCTTTTTCAACTAATTTATATTCATTATCTGTTAATCATTTTTTTCCAGCAGCATCTGTGCCATTTTTGACTAAATTCTTAATATAATCCCTATAATTACTTCTAAGTATAAAGCGATGAAACAT